AGAAGAAGATGAATGAACAAGAAACATGTTGAATTTAGAATCATAAGGAATAACAATAAATAACATTGTAGTATATCACTATTTTATTCTTAGACAATGTATTTACCTTCAAAATACAATATTTTACAATATCAACTAATTAACGTTATGATGATAATTGCGATTAGCATCTACCAGCACATATTAAGCATTACATGAGTTAGGTTGCGAGGTGTCACCTCTTTTTCGAACGAATTCATTTTAAAAAACTATAATCGATATTCAACTTACCGAAGTATCATTATTTTGTAAGTTGTAGATGAGTAACAATAATTCAAGTAGATACTCTTGACAATCTATGCTATTGTTATTTAGCAAATATACATAACGTGTTAATGTCGTAGATGCTTGATTTCACGAATAATTATGGCGAGACGATATACTAAAATGAACACTCTTCTTTTTAATAATGTCGTTCGCGATAAATGTATTTATATAAGAAAATAATTTATATATTGATTTTAAGTTATAGTATGCAGACATATTACCAAAGAACAGTTGACAACTAATTCCATTGATGTTATTAATTATTTTTTCTTATCTGTGCTTGACGTTTCAAGAAAAAGTAGAATACAGAATATAACTCAATATTTTTCGATTATATATATAGTAATTGAATTGAAAAGAGCTTATCTCTTTTTGACAAAGCACGCAATTATTCTCAAGCCGCATAAAAAATATATGGATATCGTTGGTTCTATTTTACTCGATGAACATGTGCATGCTGGATTATAATCTAATAATATTCCCTTTTGTTCTATTATAATTATTATGTCTCTTCTAAATTTAGAAAAAAAAAATTTCTTTCTGTACTGTGTATTTTTCTATTATTCATTGTATTAATCGTGATTATTTTTTATATGACCTTTCTTGATATTTGTTTATGTGTTCATTTTGGTAGGTCTGATTATAATAGTGAGCTGCAAGTAATAAGATACAATCAATTATATAATACGTCAAAAATGTCATAAACGTGAATTAAAAAGTAAAGTTGTTTTTTAAAATTATAACAACAGTATTTTCCGATTTTCTTGAATAATCACAAATATTTAGTTTATACTGTATATAATAGTATGTATAAAAAACTGTATTTAAGAAAAAAAATTATGTAAATGTAGAACGAGAGTATACCATTCAGAATTTTTTTCTAATATTTAAACAACAATTATACAAGTTAGGGCTATAGATACAGTTTAATGACGGTTGACATTTTGGTTTTCTAAAAAAGGTATGATTAACTACTGAATTTATGTTTTGATTGTTTATTTAAATATTATATTTTTAAACTTTAGTAATGCGAATATATTGTAGGAGGAAATAAAGAATTTAATCGCCTTACATATCGCTATAGAAATATTTATAAATAATGAATATTATTTTATCGGCTATAAGTAGTCAAATCGAAGAATTATAATTGTATTTATCCGGGTTAAGTAAACATACGTCACTCGAGTTTTTCAGCATGAAATCTAATTTAAGAATATTTCCTTCGTTTTTCAAATACTAATATCTAACGACAACAGAAAAAAAAATATGATGTAAATTTTTTGTTTCTTTTAAGATTATGTTGTTTTTTTTTATCTTCAGGATGTGACATGCTTTGATTATAGGAAACACCAAAAAACCAACGGTTTCCTTCATTATCTAAAAGGTTAGTTTCAAAAGCCCATGAACAGGATCGTTTATCTAAGAAATATGAATGAGAATGAGAGCATAAGATCTTGAGGGTGTGGGTGTGGGTGTGGGTGTGGGTGTGGTGTGAATATTTAGCATACTACACATTTACACGCACAAATTTCTGAGATGGACAGTTGAAATTGTTTTCAAGCTGAGTCTGAGCACCATGCTCAGAAGTTTTTTTTAACATTCAGTTTTTTCCAAAACACAATTTTCGAGGATTTTCGGAGGATAGTTCCTAGAGGCAAAATGAAAGAACAAGTCCAAGTTAATGAAAATGGATCAGTTTATACGTAGTAATACCGTATCGTGTTACAGATCTATTACAGTATGTTATTTTTTTTTAATCAATTTTACTGTAAAAATAATTTATAAAAAAAGGCATAATATTTCTGCGCTTTCGGTCATTGTGTTGCTTGGATAGTTAAATACGTGATGATACGCCGTGCGAAATCTACATAAATGTAGCATTAGTTTTCTAATTAGAAAGTCAATGCTTTCTATTACTTTTTAATACTTTGATTAGTTACAAGCAAAGAACAGACCGAAAAACATGAAAGCATTACTCTTAAAATACATCTAAGATTAATAAAAAATTCTATTGATATCATTTCTTAAGACCGAAGCGCAACTCAAAGATATATATATAAATAAAAGGAAAATTAAAAAAGTACTAATAAACCTTTTTTATATTGCATCGAGCATCAAGTCTTCTTTATGTTACATTATCCAATAAATGCTTTACTTTATTTCCCAAGAATTTCCTTTGTTTTTTCTTCATCATTCCATCGATTGTATACATTGAGATGTCATCATCAATTTTAACAATTTTAGGAGATATTGGTAATATATTTATTGTAATTATTTTTCTTCGACATAGACAAAATGGATGTGCAATTTATTTAATAAGTGCAGCTATATTAAATTCTGTTTATATAACATTTAATCGTTTTGTTCAATATTTTCCTTTTTATTATTCTGATGAAACATTACGTGCATTTATTTTATGTAAAATACGTCTTTATCTTCCAAGTATCATTGGACAATTAGCTAAAACAATGATTGTTTGCGCATGTATTGATCATTTTATGATTACAACTAACCGTGTGACTGTTCGAGCATTTAGTACATCTAAACGTGCAAAATATATAATATATTTTTCTATTATTTTCTAGTTATATTGCAATAATGTCAACAATTATGAATGGAGAATGTGGATTCTATGAAATTCATTTACCAATTTATAGGATTTATACAGTAATAATTATTGGTACAATTCCATCAATCATCATGATTGTATTTGGTTATTTAACTTATTGTAATATGAGACGAATACGTCGTCGTATTCAACCGATTGTACGTAATACAATTGAAGAAAATGTTTTCTTCGACAACATGATCGTGATTTATTAATTATTGTTATTTATAAAATCTTTATTTATGTTATAACAGCATCTTTATATTCATTAATTCTTTTAGAATCATTGATTAGCGATTGTACGATGTTAAATAAAAGTGTTCAATATTTACAAACTGAAAATTTTCTACTTTTTCTTGCATTTTTATTCTTAACTATTAATAGTTTTTCACCTTTTTTTATTTATTTAACTTTATCAAAACCATTTCGTGAAGATTTAAAACAATTAATTATATGTGTTTATCGACAATTGAGAAGGCCTCCTCCCATTCGAAGTATTCATAGAACAAATGAAGCATTAGTACGAGACACTCGACTTTAATCGAATATATTAACTTCATGTTTAAGTATTGTGCTTTGTTGTGTAAATGTATTTGTTGAAGATAAAATTTATCTTATAATAACAATCATAAGAGATTTATAGCTAAAAGGTGAAAGTGATATATTGTGTGTAAGTGGTAGAATAAAATTTAATATAATCAACCGTCAGAAAAATCTATTGATTAATATTTAGTATGAATCATACGATTTTAATTAATATCAAAACAAAATGCTTTCTCATAGTTAAAATCATCATTTATTTATAGATTGGAATAAAATGAGAGGTTTTTTATTTTGATGATCCATTATCAGTTCACATTACTATATTAAAACATCTATGTTATACTATGAAATATTCCATTATTAGCAACTGATGATGGATCATCAAAACCTGAAAGCTTTCATTTTGTTCTTATTTATAAATAAATGATGATTTTAAGTACAAAAAAGAGCATTGTATTTTGATTGTATTCATTAAGTTTTAGAAATTTTCTGTTCTCCGTTGCTAAAGAAAATGGATCCATTAACCCAAAAAACGTACCTTTCGTTCGTTACTAGAAAAATATTCGCTTACAATGATCTTTGCATCTGATTGCTATGAAGAATAGAAGGAATTGTTGAAACCTATACTTCCTATTTATTTCTCGTAAGTTCCACAAAATAACGTTAATTATATTGTTTTAATGAGAATATCGTTGTAGAATAAGTGTGAAAAAGAGAATATAGAAGTGATCAGGCAATGGAAATAACAACTATTCGATCTTAATAAGATCGGCTTGGATAATTATTCCTTCAACTGAAGGAGAATGATACGAAACAGGGTTGCCAAATCTAAATTTTAGAAATCAGCGTTTTTTCGTTAAAAAACAGGAGTTGATCAGGAGACTTTTTTTACAAAACCAGCAGAAAAATCAAAACACTTTCTTTCGAAACCAGCAGGAAAATAAGACAGTGACACATACTTTATTTGTGAAAAAGCAAAGCTTAAACTACCAAAGAATTGAAACAGAACAGAGTAAACTGTTTTCTACGTCTTTTTTGATATTGTTGTTTCACGATTGTATTTTTCTTCTGAGTGAATTGGTTTTAACAATTCTTTTCTATTTTGGAGATTTTTTATCTTAATTTTGAACTCGACATTCATTAGGATCATTTTTCATTTTATTTCTGTTATCATATCATCAAAATTTTGTGTGACTGAAACTTGACTCTTAAGTAGTTCTTTAAAGGCATCATTTATCGACCTATATCAGTCCTGGAACCGGATCTTTTGAAAAAAAAATCAATCAGTCCATGAAGATGGGACTCCTACAGGTTGAAATTTTTTCAAAACTCTTCTTTGTCGATCCTATTTCTGGCTATAAAAAACTAAGATACTGCATAAATTTCTGGTAGAGTTGGCAAAAAAGAAGACAAAACACAGGTTATTTGATTATTTGTTATGAGATTCACTTTAAAACGATGGTTTTTGTTGGCTATCTCATACATACTCTCCGAAAATACACCCTCACACAGAAGTCTTTTCTCTTTTCGTTTCATTGCTATCATACTTTATACAAAAATTTATTACCGAGTAGAGATATGACTTGAGAGTTTTATCTTACGAAGGGAACGTTGCCAACTGTCCAATCGCTTTTTCAATAAAAGTTATTGGGTGAGAGGTTATTTACTATGCTGATTCCGAATATTAGCATGAAAGATGCCCTTAGGCCTTTATAGGGTGATTTTTTAGGAGACCGGTTTTCAAGAATAACAAAAGTTTTATTAAATTTAGTTTTTCATTCGCTCAGATTATAGAGCATATGGAATTATTTATGAAACAACAACTCTTTCTGTTTCATATAGAATATCGAGAAAGGTTAGCTCATATAAAGAATAATCATGATCAATACGACGAATAACAGAAGAATAGGTGGTGAGTGAATTGCGCTTGTAGTGTACCGTTGGGAGAAGAAAAAACCAAGTAAGTAAAAGTAAACAACATAAAGAAAATATAAATCATACATTCCATACAGCTCTGTCAGTTGTGTACAGCTCAAATATTTTTCCAACTGTCTGCTTTTTCGTTGACGAAAAAAATTGATCTTTCGAAATGCACGAATGGTTATGAATATTGCTGTCAAAATGAAATTTATAACTGTATAATTTTTACATTATTATGATATATGAATCGAAACGTTTTAAAAATGAGAATTTAACTAGCATGTACAAGACTCTATCCACATTTTGGATGCATATGAGATAGTATATACGAATATTCAGGACCGATAACACATTTGCTGAAGAACGTCCTATGTGTGAATGAATTATTTTCAACATTCTTTTGATGTAATAATGAGAATACAAAATTATGAAGTCTTTTTTTGTATTTTCTGAGTTCAAAACAAGTTGATTGAGCTTAAAAATCATGTTTGGATGGTTTTTAAAAGATTTGGTCAGTAAAGTGGAATCAAAACAGTCATCAATTTATATCGTTAAAAAAAACAGTTTCAGCTACAAAACAGTTGTAAAATGTGATTTTTAGTTAATCGAAATTGTAGAACAAGAAGGTCATTTTGTCGATAAATGTTGTTAAAAAACGCTAAATATGATATTTCCTGCTCGAAAGCGTCAACACAATAGTAGTCAAAGAGACTAATATTTGTATTGTATTTAAGATTATGTTTTGAGGATGATTTAAACAAAAATTATCCAACTTTGTTGAGTAGAATCTGAGATATAAGTGTTTTGGTGTTGATAATGCGACGGTACAATGCGAGTGCAATTTACTCACACAGTATAGAAAGAAAGAAAGAAAGAAGGAAAAAAAGTCTTTTCTAACTTTAGAAGAAATATAATACCGACAACAGGGCATACAGGAACATTATCAAATTGTAATCGAGCAAGCATATATGCATTAATATGCTGCTGGTAAAATTGCACGAATGACGTCCACGTAACTTTTATGTGACCTAAGAATAATTGCGTGCTTTGTCAAAAGAGATGAATTCTTTAAATAACTGTGTACATAATCGAAAAGCATTGGGTCACATACTTCATTCTTCTTCTTCTTTTTTGAAACATCAAGCATAAATAACAAAAAATAAGTAAATAACGCTAACGAAATTCGTCGTCATGTATTCTATGATGATATCTTTACATTCGATAACTTAAAATCAATATATAGATTATTCATATATAAATACATTCACAGTGAACAATACTATCAAGAGAAAGACAATGAATAAAGTAAGAAAGACACATCTTTGGAGATGAGCTGTTCGTTTTTGTATATCATCTTGTCACAGTTATTAAAGAAAGAAAAGGTCCACAAGATTAACACATTATGTGCATTCGTTGAATGACAATAATATCAGAGATTGTCAAAGGCATCTAATTAAATTGTATTATAGTCGTATTGTTACTTATCTACAACTTACACAACGACGATACTTTAGTAAGTTGAATATTGATTACAAATTTTTTGAAACAAAATCGTTTGCAATAGAAATGTCATTTCGTAATCTAACTTGGTGGGATGGGTGTGGGTGAGAGTAGAGAAAAGATGAATCCACATCGACATCCACACTCACCCCACGTTTACACGCTCAAGATGGTTGCATTTTAAAACTAAATGTATCGTGAAAAAATAAAATATTGATCTATTGCAATGACATTTATTGTTATCATTTAAGATTCGAAACTCAACACATTTTCTGTTAATCCATTTACTTTTTTTATAGTAATTCTTCTGTGATAAACGATACAGCCGAAGCAACGCATACCATTATCTACTTGAATAGTTTGACAACGATCTTCTCACGTTATGTTGGCATGAGTTTTTATGGATTCGGACTTATCAGTGGACTACTAAATACTTATGTATTTTCACAATCATCACTTCGTTCAAATCCATGCTGTTTGTTCTTATTAGCTCTCAATATTGTTGATATTTTGCATATTCATAATAGTCTTCTCATTCGCGTTCTTCAAGTTGGTTTCCACTGGGATCCGATAGCCATTTTTCCATTTATATGCCAATTACGATACTATATTGGCTATGTACCTATTACACTCTATATGATACTTCTTACTTTTGCATCCTGCGAACGATATGCATCGACATGCAACCGACAGAGTCAGTGGCGTCGGTTTAGCAAATCTAAGAATGTGTGCTATACTAAACTAGGCTGCACAATCATTTGCTGTTTAGTATGCTTATTTATATTTCTTTGCTACAGCGTTACTCAAACACCAGCTTGTACAATTCAGAATTCTATATGTACAACACTCACAGTTGTCTACACATGCATAGTAATCGGATTTGTACCACCAATCTTTGTCACAATATTTGCTTGGCTCACTGTACGCAATTTACGCATCATACGTCATCGATCGCGATTAGGACCGATTTCTTACAAAATTTATTTGCGCATCAAAGATGCAAACGAACAGTTCACATCAATGCTCTTCATGCAGATAGTCATCATGTTAATTAGTAGTGTACCCTATGCTTCGCTTATGATCTATCAGTCAAGTACTCGTCATAGAAACAAAACTACGGTGCGAATAGCATGGGAACAACTGATTTCACAATCAATTCATTTACTTATTTATGTTAACTATGTGTGCTCTGCCTATATTTACTTGGCTACGTCACCAATGTACAGGAAACGTTTAGTATTACGAACGAAAGTGCCTCACGTACCAGCTGGAATAGGTAATGAGTTTATCAACAATATCTCCAGGTCACGAAATCGAACAAAAAATGAAACGACAGTTGCTTCAATTCCAACTAATAGCTCTGAAGTCATCAAACAAAATCAACAACGTCGTCCTAGTATTATATCGTTGCACATGACACCACATAGCAAGAATTGTTCAACAGCGATTTCAATATGATCAGTGTACTACAAGCTGATGCTGTACAGCTTCAGAATGAAACTATCGCAATCAGAGATTAACGTATGTGGATGCAGTTATGTCTTCTCCTAATCAAAATCAACATCTACACTTACACTA